CCATCGTGGGCATTTTCTCTGCCCGCCCCACCCTCATCTCAGGCCCTACGTGATGTTAGGAAAAAGGAAAAGATAAGTTTTAGAAGTAATTTCCTCAATCAAAGACAATCAGTCCTGCTGAGGCGCTCTGCTCCCAAGTATCTCTAGTGTCCCATAAACCTCTGTGGAGAGGAGAAAATCCTGAGGCAAGAAGACGTAAGCAGTGCAAGCTGAAAACCCACTGTTTGGGCCAAAGTCATTCCTGCTTCCAGATCCCAAAGACAGACACGGTTTTCTGTCTCTAAAGTTCCCCCAAGCAGCAATGGGCGAGGAGGATGGCTGGAGCCCCTGTTTTTAATTAGCCAGTTTCTTAAATTTCATTCTCATTTTGCTTTTTATAAAAAACATAAGCAGCACAAAGTTTGGTTTTTGTAATTGCTGCAAACCTCAAAGCTCTGCTACTTGAAATAAAGCAAATGAAGAAAATTCTGTTTTCTGACATGCAAATAGTTATTACCTCTACTGACGACAATAAAGAAAATTTAGCTCTTATGTAACACCGTTTAGGATCAAACAGAGTCTAAAATTAAATTTGAAAGCAGGCTTGGTGGCATGTAGTCTCAGCACTGAAAAGGCTGAGGGGGCGTAATCTCCTGGTCCAGAAGATCCAGACCAGCAAACGTAATACACAAGGCCCAGCCTCAGAACACAATGATACAAACTGAAGCAAGGCTCAGCTGGTGAAGTGCGTGTCTTTAAAAGGAAGACCTGAGTTTGTTCCCCAGAACCCATGTTTAAAAGTAAAAACAAAAGAAAAATGGGTGGAAAAAATATACCTGGGCACAGTGGCACATGCTTGCAATCCAGAAAGAGGTAGAAATCTTGGTCTGAAAAGTACTGTCTCAAAAAATAAAAAAAAAAAAAAAAAAGCAAAGGATTCCAGCCCACATTTTCACCATGATGGACTCTACATCCTCAAGCTGTGGCCAACAAAACCTCTTCTCCCGTAAGTTATTGCATGCCAGGTATCTGGTCAGAGTAAAGAGAAAACTAATACAAAACTATTAGACAATTTACCCAGAGCCTTACAACTTGCAAAGCCAGGAGTCAGTTCTAAAGTAAACTATGAATTTTAGGCAATAAAGATGTGCTCATGTAAACTCAAAACAAGAATGACTGACATCACCTGAGAAACAATGCCTGGTGTGGTCCTCTGCTTCCATGCTCACACGTGAACATGTACCTAAACACAAACACATTCAACACTGACATTCACAAAGCAAAATGATTAGCTTCAGGATCCGCATCAGCTATAATTCCCCATGGTTAACAGTTTAAACTGCAGAAACATTCTCAGATAAGGAAAAAACTGCCAAGATACTGTCATTGTCAGAATGTCCATATTTGCTCACTGTAATTAAAGACTTTCTTCTATATCTTTGGTCACATTTCCAAAGAATTCTAAAAACCAGTAATGACCCATATATAAAATTATTCACTAATTGAGGGACAACTAACACTAATGATCTTTAGAAAAATTTAAATGAAGTTACCATCTAATAGACTGGATGAAGGGACACAAGACACAAGACAGTGCCCTACGAGGCATCACAGGTTAAGAAATAAAAAGCTCAGTGGCAGAAATGGGCATCTCTTTTGGAGTTGGCTAGTGGGGCCCCATACTTCCTCCAAAAATTACAGGCCACTGCCATTGCTGTTGGCTACCTGATGTGGGGTGTCCTTCTATATATGTGTTGTTTTTATTGGTTGATAAATAAATGTTTTGGCCAATAGCTTGGCAGAATAAAGTCAGGCGGGAAATATGAACAAAGACATACAGAGAAAGGAGGTGAAGCAAAAGAGACGCCATACAGCTGATGAAGGAGGAAGATGCCGGAATCCTACCAGTAGGCCACAGCCTCGTGGTGATACACAAATTAATAGAAATGGTTTAATTTAAGATGTAAGAGCTAGCTAAAAATATGCGTGAACCACTGGCCAAACAGTGTTAGAATTAATATAATTTCTGTGTGATTATTCAGGTCTGGACAGCCAGGAAACAAACGAGCATCCTCTGCTTATAGCTACTCTCCAGAACTTGCAAAATAAAACATGAAGAAAAGAATATTTTATACTATATACATACAACTTTTGGTTTTAGAAAAGGGGATGTATGTATATATAAATTTTCAGTTATATATATTCATGTATCTTTGAACAGTTATTTTAAGTTAATAGTTATTAAGTATAAAGTATATACATGTTATAATGTGGTATATAATATGTATATATAATATATACACACACAAATAACCTTTAAGAGAAACTGAGACCCAGTACCGGTGTGAAAACAAAGAAACAGCAAGGAGACCAGAGAATTTGCCTCCTAAGTCCCTATAAATGCTATACCTAGTCTAAAACACATTTGAACTTTTAAGAAATAATAATATTATTGAAAATTATAAATAGATGGCAGGCATACCCATCATTGGTTATGCTTATACTTTATGGTTTATTTTGTGATTGAGAATTTATACTAATGTGTGATTAATATCTCACGCCAGTATAATTTTCTCGGCTAATCCTCTAGAGTTAAAGGTCTTGCTGCTTTTGTGTTCTGTTTAGATCTTATTTTATTTATATGAGTGTTTTGCCTGTATGTATGTATGTATATGCACTACACAGATGCCTACATTTGATTATGGGCTACCATATGGGTGCTTGGGAACCAAACCCAGGTCCTCTGTAAGAACCACAAGGGTTCATAACTCGTGCGCCACCTCTCCTGGCCTAATGGCTGTCTAAATACAGAAAGACACTGTTCTGGTCCTCTCAGGTGCTACCCTATTATAAGAAATATAACTCCAATTTTTGTCCGTATGTATATAGGCACGTATACCAGAGCATGCAAGAGGACAACCTGCAGGAGTGGATTCTCACCTTTCTCCATCAGTCTTCATGGTTAGTGACAAGTACTTTTACCCCTGAGCCATCTCATTAGCCCAGGCAATATACTCACAATGCAAGTAGATTATATACCTACGGTTTTGGCTTTTTTTTTTTTTTTTAGAGAGACAGGGTTTTTCTGTAGCTTTTGGAGCCTATCCTGGAACTTATTGTAGATCAGTTTGGCCAAAAATTCAGAGAGATCCACCTGTCTCTGCCTCCAGAGTGCTAGGATTAAAGGTATGCTCCACCATTGCCAGACTACTTATAGATTTTAAAACATTTTAAAACTATGCAGGATGGAACAGAGAATGATCTCCATTACTGGTACCAGATAATTGAAAAGGAGTAAGACAAAATCTATGTGGCTTACTTAAAGCCAACTACTGAGTAAGAAAGACATAAAATCTTTAGTTTCAAAATCCTCAGAGAGATTACTTAATGGATCCTAAAATGACTTCTAAAATTATTCCCCTCTCTCTCTCTCTCTCTCTCTCTCTCTCTCTTTCTCTCTCGAAGTGAAGAAACAGAGATGATACAACCCTTACTTTTTCAGAACCACTCAGCCATCTATTAAGTTCAGAGTGTGTGGCACACTTCAAACACAAGCAAGAATAGTATGAGAGAACACGCCACTCAGCTGAAAAGGCCCAAGAATCTAGGCTGATTCTTGACGGACAATGAAGGTGGCACTAGAGGAAGAGGAGAAGGAGCACTCACCTCATACACAGGTGAGCAGTTGCACTGTATCCAAGCAGAGGGGTCATGGAAGAATCACAGCATACACGGGTAGCCAGAGCTGGCTTGAGAAGACTAATACACTAAATTACAGGGTTTAGGCTTATAGATAGAAAGATATAACAGAGAGCCAATAATCAAATAATACACAAAGAGGTGACCAGAGAGAACGAAACAGGATTTCTAAAGAAGTGTTAAAAGAATAGAGGCAATGAAGACTAACAGACTACAGCCCAGAGAGGCTTCCACACTGAGAGTCACAACTACTCTGAAGGCATAAAAGAAAGTAAGCACCCACATTATGCCATGAGAGTAAAAATGAGAGGAGGGGAAGAGCATGAGAATGAGCTGGGAATTCTGGGAAACTCCAGAGCCACATGAGTCAGAGCCATGGCTGCATCATATCCAGGTTACTTTGGGAAAGTCGGTTTGAGAAACTACCACTTAAAAATGAACCAGCGCCTCTGCCCACTGTCAGCCTGGACAAACTACGGACACCGATCAGAGAGCAGAATGCTCCCCACGAGAAACTCGAGCTGCCCCATCATTGACGTGGTGAGTCGGAGTTACTACAAAGGTCTAGAGAAGGGGAGGCTCCCTTGTCACCTTGAATGCCAAATTCTTCAGCAGAAGAGCAAAGGAGAAGACTAAGTGTGGTGGGGTCCTGTATCCTGGTGACTTGAAGCCACCCAAGGAGGTTCATGACGTATTAACATTCTTTTCCAGAAAGCCATTTCTCCCTTTACAGGGAATTGGTTTTGGGTACTATTGTTTTGAATTGTTTTGTTTTCTTTTCTTGACAGAGCTAGTGATAGGACCCAGAGCCTCAGCCATCCTAGATAAGCACAGTATCACAGAGCCACACCCTAGCTCTCGGCCAGGTGCTCCTGCTTCAAACACCATCCTGTCTGACCACCTCGGAAAGGAGCAAGCCCCTGCTGCCTTCTGCCATTCTATTACCTTTTGTCTGGGAATATGGCTATACAGAACAAGTTTAAGGGATGTGCTCCCCAGGAACACGCAGAAGACACATTCCTATGTCATCAAATATTTAAGAGAAACTCACGGTATGATTTTCTTTTTTTTCTTTCTTTTTTTTTTTAATTTATTAAAGATTTCTGTCTCTTCCCGAGGTATAATTTTCTAAAACACATCACTGGCGCCAAGGGCTGACTACAGACTGCCAATGCAATGTAAAAACCGTGTCACTGTGCAAGTTCCCTTCTTAGAATAAGTCAATTCATTATTGCAGCACAAATTCTTGATCCCCAGCAGGGAACCAGTGGATTGCGTTTCTAAAAGCTTTAACCTTATATCAGACATGGTAGCAAGGGTACCTGGTGGAAGGAATCAGGTTGAGTATCCCATTGAGAACGTAGCTGAACTCTGCATGACCCTGAGCAACAAGTGCCACCAGGCCCTCGCAGCAGGCTGTCCGGACCACCACATTGTCACTGCAGCACTTCTCCCACAGCAAGTTCAAGGCGGCCGTCTGAAAGCAAACCAGTGATTAAAGGATGCTTAGGACAAGAAGAAACTCGCATGGAAGCACAACTGTTCATCAACATGTAATCACTCACAGTGGGTTAGCTTCTGTACCAAGGATGCTGCTGTGGTCACTTTGCTCCTACAAGAAACTAAAATCTGTTTTCCCAAAAGGGAATACATTTGTTTTGATGCAGTTTCTCTCTCCCCCTGGTGTCTGGCTGCACAATAAGGCTGACTGCAGGCAGAAGCATCAGGACTTAGTGAAGACTTGACTCTCACCTGCTGAGCTATAGAAGGTGACTAGACCCCAACAACATCAGGGGGTCTATCCGCTCACCTAAGCTGAAGTCCAAACATCATCGAAGCCCGGAGCTTCATGGTGATGACATTTTCAAAGGGTCCCCGCTCTTCTTCTACTACCGACCTCTATTCCCTACACGCAGCTCGGTTCCACCCACACTTGTGCTGGAACCTCTCAACTTCGAGTCACAGGACTAGACCTGCCCATAGCAATGGCTAGCAACAAATACTAGGAGAAATTATTTTGCCAAGAAAAATACCATGACTTTTCCCCTCATACTGAGAATCGACATTCACTAATGGAAACACCCCAGATGGGAACAGAGGTCAACAGAAATTTTGATTTTGAAAATAGAACTGTGAGCTTTTTTTTTTTACTTTCTCGGGACTCGTCCCCAGAAAAGAATCACTAATAAATAATAAATCCATACTAAATGTATTTTGGGTTAAGTCTGTTGAGGTTTACATCCTCTTTTCTTTTTTTTAATTAAAAGAAATAAGTCATAGTAACACAAGCATGTGATTTCATTGCTTAGAAGGTAGAGGTCAGAGTTCAAGGACATCCTTAGGTACTAGCAAATTCAAGGTCAGCCCAAAATAATAATAATAATAATAACAACAACAACAATGGGTTGGAGAGATGGCTCAGTGATTACGATCACACACTGTTTGCTCTTCCAGAGGATCAGAGTTCAACTCCCTAAAACCACCAGCAGGTATCTGTAACTAGCTCCAGGCCAGAACCTCTGCACATAATTACACATAACTAAAAATAATAAAAATTAGTGATGATAAACTCAAAATGAAGCTCTTTTATTTTCTTTTGATGCAGTTTATTAGAGAGATGTGGGGGGTGTGGAGATGACTTAATGGGCAAGACGGCACAAGCATGACAACTATAAACTCAGCATAGTGGGAGACAGGAGCACAGTGGAACTGCCCTGCCTCTAGCCAAACTGAAACCAAAGCTCCAGGCTAACTAAGAGATCCTACCTCAAGGGAGCAAGGCTGAGAACGACAGGATGGGACACCTAATTTCCTCCTATAGTCTGCACATGCACACGCAAAGTGGGCATACCAGCACACACTTATGCATACTTACACACACCACCCCCTACACACCACACCACCCACACATAATACATACACATACACCACAACACACACACAATTCCATACTACACCACACACACACCACACCACAAATGCACACACATACCACATCACACACCATACACATATACATCCACACCATATCACACACCACACAGCAAATTACACAAAGGAAGGAACAATTCAAGGAGCAGTCAGAGTCTGCAGCTCCCACGGACGGCAGTGCACAACACTCTGCTGCACTTCCTCTACAGTTAATGAAAACCTCTGCAGTCTCAGACCCCGCTATTACAGAACAATAGAGCTAAAAGTCAGCTACTGCAGAGGGGAAATATTTATATTCTATTTCCTCTTGTATTCAGAAGGAAATTTATTTTCACAATAGCCCAGGGTCCTAAATGCCATTATCCCATTATCAAGCCGGAAAAATGAGATAAATGGATGAATAAACCTGCCTAAGATGGTACTGTGTCCTTGTGGAGGTAGGCATTCATTTATTAGTAGAAGAAGAAGCATTTAGTTAAAAGGATTTAACTTTCAATAAATCCTGGCAATTTAAGTAAAATCACTAGATCTTCTCAGAGTACATAATGTGATTATAGGCAGAACTGGGATCAGGGTTCTCAGGAAACCTGATTTACATGACTATTACAAACACTAGATAAATGCCAATTAGTGAAACATACCACAACACTTTCTTCCAGCTATGGACAGGCATTGTAAAGATGGATGATACAAAGTGGCTAATCATCAAGAACGTGAGGGGCGAGGGGCCAGCGATGTGGTTCAACCAACAAAAGTACTTGCTGTCTCTCTGCCAACCTGAGTTCAACCCGAGGACTTACAAGGTGGAAGAAGAAAGCAGGCTCTCATAAGCTGTCCTCAGACACACAGAGGCACACTAAGGCACGTATGCATGTATAAATGCACACATACATACTCCCATGTAACAAAGAGAAAGTAAGGAAAAGGAAATCAATTTATTTTTGTTGGAAGAAAAATACTTCTTATCTCTAGTTTATACATAGGCACCTGTGTTTAGCAAGTTCCGATCTAGCAAGTAAAAATACACAATGCCAACTGGTCAAAGCCCAACCTGTTTGCATCAGCACTTAGGCACTGGTTCAAGTCTGGGTACTTACCTACTCTGTGCAGGGAAGCTTTCCTCCAGCTCCGACTGGCAAGTTGGCTTTCCAACTTAGAAATCACATTCAGGGCTGAGCAGAAGCATGAGAAATCTCCCACAACCAAACACAGCCCCTGTGTCTCTATTGCTTAAAGACATTCTGGCAAGGGTAATTCTGTCACCTTCTCTAGCGTGCCCTCCCTCATCCTGCTGGTGTTGTTTTTCACTAATAGTGAGAAACTCCCTCCTTCACCCTTTCCATGTCTCATCCTGGAGTTAGTCACAAATGTCCAAGTTTAAAAGACTGCTATAGAATAAAAACATGACAGACCGAAGAAGAAAGGGGGCAAGGGAAGAAGAGAAAGGGAGCAGGAAATGGAGGATATAGGGAGAGGGACAGGGACTAGGCAGAAAGGGAAAGGAGGCTGGGCAAAATCTGTAGGCAAAAATCCTCAGAGTTCAAGATCGTCTCCGCAGGGAACTGAACTACAAGGGAAACAAGGTATGTGTGGCTAGGCAGGCAGAAGTTTCTAAATAAAACAAAAGCAAAGAGATGTCTTAGTCGGCTTCGTACTGCTGTGACAGCAGCCAAAAACAACCAGGCGAGGAAGGGGTTTATTTCAGCTTACAGCTTGCAGTCCGTCACGAGGAGATATCAGAGTACAAACACAAAGCAGGAACTGAAGCAGAGAGTCCATGAAGGAACACTGATCCCTGGTTCACTCTCCCTGACTTGATCAGTCTGTTTTCTTATACAACCCAGGACCACCTGCCCAGGAGCGGCATCTCCCACAGAGAGCTCAACTCTCCCACATCAATCATTAATCAAGAAAATGCCCCACAGAGTTGCCTACAGGAGACTCTAATGGGTGCATTTTCTCAGTTGAGATTCCCTGTTCTCAGATGATTCTGGCTTGTGTCAATTTGACAAAAAGCTAACCAGCGGGACACACACACATAAAACAAAGTTAAATACAGACCTGGTTTGTGGCTTGGTGTATCTTTTCTGAAACGCCATGTTCTTTGAGGACAGCAGCAATAAGATGACCTACAGCCTAAAAGAACAAACAAACTTAATGAACCTATTCACTCAGTTCTTTCCAAAGAGTGTGTTTAAAAGCAATCAACATCGTACTCATCTGCATGTTTGTGCAAGCCAAGCTGTCAACTGGTAAGAAACAAGAGTCCCTTTTATTGTAAGCCGTGTAGAAAGCACTAGATGAGGCACTCCACATGTGTAACCCAAATCTTCAGAACAACCTCCAAAGGAGGCAATTTATCCCGTATCAGCGATAAACTAACCACACTTCATAGATGCTAAAATTGCCAACTCTCAGCTCAAATTCCTGTCACCTGATATTAATGGTAATTTGAAATTACATAATCCATCAAACCATGAACAAAAACCCCTAGTCTTTACAATCTTCTTGGTACCTAATGCAGTCTGTCACGTTTCATGATGTACTTAGTGAAAACGGAGAAGAGGGCACCCTTGCTTGTGTGGATATGGCCCGTCCAGCCCTGAAAGTGACTCTTCCCTCCTCTTCCACCCTGTTCCTCCTCCTCTAGACCCAATCATTTTCACGTCTTCTAATGTTTTGCGTTCATTCATGTGTGCAAGCTACAGCTCACCTGTGGAAGAGAGAAGATAACTTACAGAAGTCAGCTCTCTCCTTCCACCATGAATCCAGATCATCCCCAGGCTTAGTGCAAAGTGTCTTTTCCCACTGAGCCATCTCATGGTCCTATTTTAATTTATTTATCCCTCTTCTCATAGGCTTTAAGCCTTGATTAAGTTTTCAGTCTCACAAATCTCTAAAAATTTCCACATCCTGCTTTAATCAAAGAACCCAAAATGAAAATTAAAGTCTGGGAGAGTTGATTGCATAAATGCATAAATGTTACCTCCCACTGCCTCAGCGTCAGGTCTACCCAGTACTCGCTGCTGACAGAAATGGGCTGGCAACAATAACAACCACTTGTGCACAGCTAGGGAAATTTTCACTACTACGGCTGTACATCCTGCACTTGGGACCACTGGCATAGTGCTGCAAATGGCTGTCAGTTTTACAAAGTCTCTAGAAAAGCTCAAAGAACTGCATAGCACCCAGTCCCTTCATGCACAAGTGCACATACACTTCAGACATTCAGACGTTCAAATGATTTAAGACCTCAGGCTTGAGTTTTGTGAAAGAATCACTCACATAATGACCAACTGGAGTTCAATCTGTTGTCTATTACCTCCTAGCAAAAGATAAGAAACCTGAAGACCAATCAGAAGTCTGAATTCTTACTCTACAAACTATATTGTGTATGTCACTAAATGTCTGTCCATCAGCCGAAAGATGCAATATTATTTTATCCATCACTAAGGAATAAAAAAGGGTGTCAGTTAATATACATACAGTGCTACCTATAATTTGAATTTTTGATTTTAGACTAATTAGAGAACTCTTCTAGACACATTTAGAAAATAATGGACAGGTTCACAAACATGCATGCAGTACCCACTGTGGTTTAACTGCTATTAGCAGTTGCTAGATGACATATAATTTCCAACATGCAAAAAGGCTGTGTGTCCATCAATGGAATATGGTTTATCTCAAAACAGTGGTTAAGAAAGAACGGTTGGTACGTAGCTAATAAGAACAGGGCACACTCATAGAAACCTAAAACCAACATGAAATGCAACAGAGACACACAAAAGCTATTGCCCACACTTAGAAAAAGGACTAAAAGAATATAAACAATGCTACACACACACTCCCAATAAGATTCTGTTTCTCTACTCTGCTTTCCTATTCAGCTTTTAGTATCAGAGATACTAGCCTAAGTAGGCTACATGGCTCTGGAACACCTACACATAGGACGCATTATGTTAACTTGCCTTCATTTCCATAACAGGACTGAAACAGACAATCTACAGTACATAGAACATACACACTTTTTGCTTCATTTAACAGTAATACATGTTAGCATTTCCTTTTTATTCATGCTAGTGAAAACTGCCCAGGTACAGAACAATGGAAACTGTGGACAACGTCTTCCTCGTCTTCTTCGGGGAAGGGCCTGTGATGCACAGAGCAGGATATGACTCCAACCCAGCCAGGTAGAAGGGAATCTTGCATAAGGAGTGTTCTACTCCTCAGGGAAGGGTTCCCCACTTCCCAGCTAAGTCAGTTCCCACAGCAGGCATCTCCAAAGGCAGCCGCTGGAAACATCCAAATGCTGTCCAAATGTTACGTCTTCAGACTGGCTTTCGCTGGCTGTTTAGCTTTACACGTAAGAGAAGATGGTAAGCTTTTTCAGCACCTGGATGAACCAAACTGCTTCTACTCAGCCAGCAGCTAACCAGAAAAACCATCATCACTTGAACCACTTGTCTTAATTATTGAAAAGCTCTGTAAATTAAATTACCCCAATTTCCTATCTCAGCAGGTATATATTACATTAATCCAGAATGCTTTAAATATTGAATATCATTATTATGATATCTAGTATTCTTAATAGCTGGAGAGAGGTAGAATATATCTTTTTAAATATTAATACTTCACATTCTGAGGAGATATATAAAACCATCTACCTCTGTACCCAATTATTAATCATGGGCAAAAAGTAACCATATTCAGAAAACTGAAGATTATGTTATTTCTAAGGGGAAAACATGAAATAAATAAAAGTTGAAACTGAACAATTTTAAATGTTAGTTTTTCTAATTCAGATATATTTATTATCCTACACAAAAATGGCGTACTAAAATAAGTCATGAGTAGAAGAAAACACTTCATGCAAAAATACAAAGTTTAATTTACAGTCCACCAAAAGGGTTCATTTGTTACCATGTAGTAAAAATAAATAAAAATTACCTGTGACTGGATAAGAGAATTTGGAAAATCAAACCTTTTCTTGATGTCATCTGACATTTTTGCTTCTCCCACATGTACATAAGAAGTTTCTGTAATCAGAAAAAAAGATTTATTAACCCTCTAATTGCTCTGTAGTTCTAACCAATTATTCCTCTAATAGTATAAAAGTGATTTTAAAAGACGAAACTGGAAATGAAACAGGAACCCCTGCAGGTTCTTCTTAGCATAACGTTTGCTGTTATAACACCTTAGCACTCAAAACTATCATTGATAAATAAACTAAAAATGCCCAACAATTCTTAGTGTTGTCCCACAAGTTAATCCCAAAATAGATAAATTCATATAAATGAACCTTTAAAAAAGTAATTATATTTTAATTCCAAAGCACAGCCACATACTTAAAATAAAAGCTAATCCTTTTATGAATCAAAACTTACAAGAGAAGGCTAAAAAGAAGGCTCTGTGGTTAGGAGCACTTGCTTTCCACGCAAAGAACTGGGGTTCAACTCCCAGCACCCACATGGCAGTGCCAAGCACAGGGCACACAATACACACACTTAGGCACACATGTATTCACGTAAAATAAAATGTAAATAAACCTCCAAAAAACTTTCAAGGGAGAGTCAAACTGTTGCAGGATTGTTTAAGCTTTCACCTCCCTTTGATACAAGCTTTCATCTCAGCAAGAAGCCAACTGCAGCTGAGCTTCCAGAAGTTCACCTATGACCTCAAACCCTGCACATGGAAACAAACTACTTGTGTGTTAAAAGAATAAGCAAGGAAACGGCACCAATGTTTAATATTTACAGCAAACTTCTCAGTTCTACTGCTCTCAAATAGAGAAGGATGAGAGAGAAGAGGACACAGAACAAAAGGATTTCATAAGGGACCCAACTGACCCAACTCCCACGCAGCACCGATAGCATGCAATCATATTCCTTGAAGGACTGGATGCTTCAATCCCATAGTCATTGCAGCGCTGTGTAAAAACTGTCAATACACTAGATGCTCTGTTTTGGATATACCCCAAGGACTCGTGTTTTGAAATTTAACTGCAGTTGTGGGCTCTTCAGAGGGCAAGAAATCAGCTAAAATAAGGTGCTTGGAGGTTGGGTGTTTGGGTGATTAGGGTTAATAAAGTCATGGGGCACAGCCTTCTTCATCAAATTCTGTGGCTTCGTAAGAAAAGTGAGACTCACGCACATTCCTCATCTCTTGCCATCAGGTTCCTGAGCAGCTTCTTCACATCTTCCAAGGTTAAACTCCCTGAGAGTAATTTATGGCTCTTTTATTCAATACCTATGTCCAACTTTACTTGAATCTGACATTTCATGGCACCAACACAAATGCTCAAAAATTATAAACTCGTCGCATGACTAAATCTACTCATTGCCTTAAGTAAACCACTATTCCTTCACTTTCCCAATTGTGTCCACTACAATCTTCATAAAACTTCTTGTAGTTTCAAAGCATATCACAACAGATTTCCTTCAGTGGATCCCTGGGAAGCCCAGGAAAGGGAGATGGGGCGGGGGGAACTGGGGGTCTGTGAAGACACAGATTCACATCGGAAGGATTGTTTAGCATATATTTAAGTTATTTAGCTTATTAGCATTACTTAGCTATCATATATCTAGGGCAGTATTCTAGATGCCTAGGCTACAAAGTAAATAAAACAGACAAACGTATCTTTGGAACTTAGCATCTAACAGGCAAAAAATATTTTTTTCTTAGAAATGTAGGTCAGGCCTGGTGGTGCTCAGCCATTAAGAGCATGCATCCTGCTCTTACAACAGACCTGTGTTCAGTTCACAGTGCCCATGTTAGGTGGCTCACCACTGCTTGTGCTCCAGCTCCAGGGGATCTGACACCTTCTGGCCTCTGCAGTGCCTGCACATACCCATATATAGATATACATACATACACATAATTAAAAATAAAATGAATCTTAAAAAAGAAAGAAGTGATCATGGCTACATTGTAATACCATCTTATTTTTGAAATGCAGGTATTAAGACAGCCGTAGTTTGTTAACTACTAGTGTACATGATATGCTTCAATTAACTTGACAATTTTCTGGACACAGTGGTAAAATTAATATCCAAATTTGGCTCTATGCCAAGTGAATTATCTACCTCTTTTACAGTTTATAAGATGAAACCAAAGAAAGCAAAGGTTTTCACATCCATAAAGCAACTTTTCATAGTTTTGTTTCATATATGAGCTGCAAAAGATGTAACATGCAATATTTTCAGAAACAAAGAAAGTTTTATATTACTCCTTTAAAAAGAAGTAATATAAAAACAAACCTTGGGCAAAACCATAGCTATTAAAGTAACATTTAATTCAGCAAGGGTCTCAGCTAATGGGTCCAAGTACAGTTTTCTGATGATCACTATTATCACAGAAGACAGACTAGAGTGTCCAGAGAAGCAGACAGCCAATGATATGACAATGGACTTCCTCAAATATCAGCAAAGGAGAAAAGAAGAAAACATGAGCTAAGCACTCAGGTCAGGGTGCAGAAACTAAAATGCCTGCGCCAGATGAGTTAGGCTAATCAGTCGAGGTTGAGCCACCCAAAAAAATGACTTTGCCATTAGAAAGTGGGCAGAATGTTGTTTTAGCCCAAAATCAGATGTCAAATGCCTCAGTTTTTTTTTATTTATTTATTAAAGATTTCTGCCTCCTCCCCGCCACCGCCTCCCATTTCCCTCCCCCTCCCCCGATCAAGTCCCCCTCCCTCATCAGCCCGAAGAGCAATCAGGGTTCCCTGACCTGAGGGAAGTCCAAGGCGAGACAATGGGGATGTACTATCAGGAACTCACCAAGGCCAGCTGGCCTAGGTCTGAAAAAGCATGGGATAAAGCCGGACTTGCTGAACATAGTGAACAATGAGGACTACTGAGAACTCAAGAACAATGGCAATGGGTTTTTGATCCTACTGCACGTACTGGCTTTGTGGGAGCCTAGGCAGTTTGGATGCTCAAATGCCTCAGTTTCAAAAAATTCAGTGCGATGCTGTATAGAGAAGTACATTTTTAAATCCATACTGACTTTGTCTTTTCTAGCAAAAATGGCCACTAGGCATTCTGAAAACCACCATCCTATGGTTTAGTAACAACGCTGATCGGCTATGCTAAGGCTAAAAATTGCAAGAATCTTTCATCTACTGAAGATTTATATTTCAGGGTTAATCACAATCATTTGACTTTGCAAGATATAAAAACATGTTCTCTTACGGAATTTCAAAAAAGAATACAAGTGCTTGCTCCAGCATTGTATAGCATGTGTCCTTTACTTTTAATCTCCGCTTCCTTTGGACATTTGACACAGTAAAGAAAAATAATTATATATTGCTTCCTATCATGACATTCCTACTAAAAGGAAGCCAGTCACAATATAACCCGTAAATCACACACTACAAAGAGAATCTGATTTAAAAGATTCATATCCAATCTGCCATGCTTTTTCTTGGCCATCTAAATCTAACTCAGAAAGAGAATTTTTAATGAGGTCTTTTAACTCTCCATGAATCAAAGGATTTGTTTAATATAGGCAATTATCATATTATCTCCTAAGGTATTCAGTCCCATACATATATTTCCAAGAAAATAAATCAATCAGCTGTACTCTAGAATAAAAGAGAGGCACAGAGATGAAATACTAAGCTTTCGAGCTTCCCTCCCAGCTTCTCCAGGACTGGAAAATACCATATATTACACAAAAATACTTATGTCACACTTCAAATAAAAGGCACAATCTGAAAAATAAATTGGAAAAAGAAATTAATCATATTCAAAAGTGCTATGAAAACCTAGGAGAGGGAATGGCTGATTATGAAGGGAACTTGGAGGGTGGAGGGGTTGTGGGGTCAGAGGATCACAAAGACAGACATTTGACTAAGTATTCTTGACTACTAAATCTCTACGCAGGAAGGACTCAATCTAGGTAGAAATTGGGCTAAAGAGAGTAGCTTCTTAAAGCTATTTTCCATAAGTAATGTGGTCACCAAATTGATAAATTAATTTATCACATTAATCAGACCTTATTTTAAAGATTCAAAATCTAGGACTTGTTTTCTAAATAGCACTTTATCAGCTACCACAATTATCAGCTAGCTAGGGCACTTTAGTTTCTTCCTACTACAAGTTCAGCTGGGGACACCTCTACCTGAGGATGGTAAACATACACGCTATTCCTCCTCACCTTCAGAGAGTATGTTCCAACATCCTGATGGATGCCTGAAATTTAAGACAACACCAGATCCTATCTCCAAGCACTGTGATGCTGCACTATGACTGAAAAGGATGCTGTGGGAAGAAAGGGCAAATGGAGGATATCGTGCGCCCCCCCGCCCCCCCAGGACAGACTAGGCTGGATGAGATTTCACTGTGCTATGCAGAATGGGATACAGTTTAAGATTTACATTTATTTCTGGATTTTCTATTTAGTATTTTCAGACCACAGCTGACCAAAAGCTGAAAGCACAGAAAGTGAAACCACAGATTCCAAGAGGCAATGGCTATATTTAGGAAATTATTTTCTTTTATTACTTTTGTTTGGACGAAAAGCTAGTGAATCTATCGATAGATTTTAGCTGGGCTTGTGTATGTTTTTTTATGGTGAAGCACTTCCGGCTTGCATCCGGCCCTTCGTTCCAACCTCAGTGCTGAAACAAAGTCATCAAGACTCTTCTAGCAGACTGGCTCTACCCTTCAAAATTGGAGTGGAGTGGCTAGGCAAGTCTGTACTTCTCAAAGGACTTACCTGCTCTGTTCACCAATATCTGTATCTTCCTGACATTTCTGCCTAGACCCAAATATTTCTATACATCCTCCCTGAGGGCTGGCGGCAGGCCCTACTCCACTCCTAGCACTGAATTCTGACACCTTTAGAAACTCAAGCTTAGCCCCGGTTCTTCTTTCAAAGCTTTAAATGCTGACTATCATCTACATTCCCAAGTTAAGAGAACAACACACTTAAAAACCTAAATATGATTCCTAAAGACAGAAACTGATCGTCCAAAGCCAATGGCCTTTAAGAGCAAACTCAACAAAACAGTAACTTTCAATCACCGTGCTCATTA